TAACAGTTTCACTAGAACCCAATTTCCCCACATACGGGCTCTTCCTCCTCCTTTTTAAAAGAAGACCTGGGTTTCAGGGTGGACCCCAAAGCTACTCTGAACTCTGGAAGGGCCAAGAGAGGGATCGCGATGCTGGAAACCCATTTCTAGGTTGATCATGCTCGCCAAGCCCAAAATGGACACGGCAGGACTGCCAAGGGTGAGGGCTCCCAGATGTGTGACTTGGGGCCAGGTGGGCAATCTGGGGCCCAGGGCCATGCTGGCAAATCCCCACGATGCCTCAGCTCTCTCTGGAAAAATGCAGTTTTCCATGCAGACTGTGACTCGCCACACCTGCGGACCAGCCACGGTGATCAGGGCCCTGTGGGCCTCTCCAGCCCCCTGGACACCCTGACTGCGCCTAAGAGTGATCAGGGAAGGCTTCCTGGAGGAAGTAGGATTGAGCAGGCCTTTGCGGACAGAGGACTCAGGCAGGCAGAGAGAAGGGCTTCCTCTCCAAAGAGGAGTCCTGGACAATGGAGACCGTCACTCTTCATCACCAAGCAGACCAGAGTTTGAACCCTCAGATGGACGAACGGATGGAAGGAAGGAAGGAAGGAAGGAAGGAAGGAAGGAAGGAAGGAAGGAAGGAAGGAAGTTAGTTCACCTGGATTCACTAGTTAACCCCGAGGCTGCAGTCCCTCTTGCTGTCCCCATCTGCCCCCTCCTGCAGAATCTACCAGCAAGGACGCCCTGGGTTATGCCACAGTAACAACTCCAAATTCAAAACAGAGAAGGTTTAGTTCTTGTCCACACTACATGCTTGTGGGCTGGCAGGGGCTGTGCCCCATGCTGTCCTCGCCCAGGACCCAAGTTGCCACCACCCTGCTAGTCGCTGGGTGCTGTCACATTGCGTTGGCCAAAGTCAGTCACGTGGCTGCCCCTAACTTCAGGGGGGTGGGACATGCACTCCTACCATGGCTCTGGAAAGAGGAGAACCTGCACATCTGTGAATAGCCCTACTGCTGCCACACATGCCATGTCCCACTGTCCCCAAGTCCGTGGGCTGGTGACCAGGCAGGGAGGAGAAAGAGCATTAAGGCCCTGGCCCATCTCCTCATTCCAGGGTCCCAGTGGTCCAAAGAGGCGTCTTCACTCCCCAGCTCCCCAGTCTGGCTTGCTGTGGGTAGAGACTTAGTATCAGCCATTAGCCCGAGTCTCCCAGTGGAGGTCGGAGCATCAAACTCATCCTGGCCTAGTCTCCGAAGGACCCTTGCTCCCGGCTGTGCCCTCATGGGCCATGGACAGGCCCTCTCGGCCGGAAACGCTCCCAGAGGTCATCAGGCCCAACCCTTTCATGTGCAGAGAAAAGCTGAGGCCCAGAGAGAACGAGCAGGATTCCTATGGTCCCATTGACAAAGGGCAGAGCTCGGGCTCTAGAAACCCTGTCCAGAGTCCCTTCCACCCTCCACCTGCAAGCAGGCACCTTCGGAATGGGACACAAGAGAGAGGGTGAAGTGTCTGCCCTTCCCCTGGCCAGAATGCCACTGCTGAGCTTGACGTGGTCCTCAGGTCAGGGGCAGCTGGGGGGCCCTTGGGACCTCTCCCACTGGCACAGAGGCCCCTTCCCACCTGCAGGGGAAGGAGCACTGGATTTGGAGTCAGGCAATCCTGTGTCCATGTCACGGCCCAGCTGAGTGTCTTTGGGCAAGACAGTTCACTTTACTGAACCTCAATTTCCTAATCTGTAAAATGGAAGCAATGATACCTGCCCTGCCTAATTCACTGGGCTCTTGGGAATGTGTGTAATTATTTCTCCCAGCATGACACGTCCCACAGATGTGTATGAGGCAATACTTTCATCCCCTCCTTCCAGGCCAGCGCGACCAGCCCTGGGTCCCCAGGCGCTAGCACAAGTTCTGCACAGAGTAGAATTCGGGGGATGTTTTGATGAACTGGATTTATATGCTCCCAATTCATTTCAGCAGCTAACAGCCAACTTCAGGGCCAGTGCTGTGGGAGACGGGATAACAAAGTCCCTTGGTCCTAGAAGGAGCCCAAACATGTCGGTTACAGACACAGGAGAACAAGAGGTGGCCAGGCCACGCCAGACACGCGGTGCTTGTCTACGCATCTCCCCCACCAGCCCGGAAGCTCCGTGGACGCAGGAAGGGGGCTGTCTTGCTTTCCGCTAAACCCCCAGCACCTGGCCTGGGCCCTGGCACGTGCTGGATCTTCAGTGACTATTTATTGGCCAAATGAAGAATCTTGTGGACCCCAGCTCCGTCCCTTCCAGCAGCCCCTCCTCTCTGAGCCTCTTTGGACCGTCATCGATAAGACGGGATGAGGAAAAGGGACTGAGATAACTGTGTGCAAGGCTCCGGGCCATCAAAGCCAGCAGTGGCATGGCTGCCACCAGCATGGTGACCATTTCCAAGCGCTGTAATACTGTAGGGATGACAGAGACCCCTTGGGGGCTGCGGAGGCTGGAGGGGGCCCCAGCCCGGCCCCCGGTTTGCCCTGACACCCCACACAGCAGGCTGGAGCCCGTAGTTTCATTCCAGCCTCCAGACAAGGGTCCTTCTCCCCACATTTCAGATGAGGACGGTGAGACTCGGGGACATGAGAGAACTCACTCAGATCACACAGCAGGAGATTTGACGTGGGAGAGCATTTCCTGAGTGTCTACAGGGTGCCTGTCCCTTCCTTGGCCTCATTTCATCCTCCCCACCTTGCAGGTGAGGAAACTGAGGCTCACAGAGGGCCTGGGGCTTGCCAAAGGAGCATCTCCCGCCTGGCCCAGGGCCCCAGCCTCGGTCCTCGGTGCCCGCTCCACCCGCTGGGGGGCTGGGATCCGAGCTGCGCCCTGGCCACCCTCTGCCACTCCGGAAGTGCCCTGTGTCTGTACCTTGATCTCCACGCCCACGGTGCCAGGAAACCCCAGCAGGGACGGCGAGCTGGGGATATTTATAGCGGGCGTGCAGAAAAGCTGCCACCCCCGTCTGTTTACCCAACAACGCACTTCTAGCTGGCCACTTACAGCCCCGCCAGCCACAGACAGACCCTCGTGGCCGCCTCATCTATTTTTTCCTCCCCACTTAATTTTGCATCATCCCGGCTTCCAAAATAAACTTCCCCAAACCAGCCAGCCTCATTCTGGCCCAGAATCCCTGCCCGAGAGCCCCCTCCAGCCCCTGCCCCCGCCTCAGCCCATGCGGCAGAACCAGCAAGCCCAGCCCAGCCCGCCGCTGCCCTTGGCCTTGATTTAGAAGCAGCTGCCGCTGCCCCGGCAAGTTTCTGACACTTCAGTGCCGGGGCGTCTGCGTCTGTGGGGACGCCGGCTGGGTATCTGCGCGCATGGCTGCCGGCGGGAGGCCGAGGGTGCTGCCCAGGCCCCTGCTGGCCTCCTCCTGCTGCATCATGTGACCCGCCCCCTCCTCATCGGCTCCCCACCCCACCCTGAACCTCTCTCATTCCTCAGACACACGATGCCGTCTCCCCCCCAGGCCTTTGCACATGCTATTCCCTTAGCCTAGAACACTTTTCCTCTCACGACTTGCCAAGCTAATCTTACGAATCCCTCAGGCCTAAACTTAGATGTCACCTCCTCCAGGAAGCCCTCCCGTGCAGCATAGGGGAGCAGGTGTTCGGGGCCATCCTACATCCTACCTCAAAGGCCAAGAGAAGCTTAGAAGTCACGCCCAAGGCGGAATGGAGTCCCCACTGTTCTGAGTGAATTCCTCAGCCCAGCTCTGGGCCTGCCCACGCAGGCAAACCAGCTCCCTCGTGGTCCTTCTCCCCAGGAGAAGGACCTGCCTCAGAGGGCCATTGAGTCCGTCCAGCCCTCTGTTGCAGAAGCCAGGGACACCTCGATCGTTCCAGAACTTTCTATTTATTCATTTATTTATTAGAGACGAGGTCTCTGTCGCCCAGACCAGAGTGCAGTGACACGATAGCCTCGCTGTAACCTCAAACTCCTGGGTTCAAGTGATCCTCCTGCCTCAGCCTCCCAAGTAGCTGGTATTACAGGCGTGAGCTACGGTGCCCGGCAATCATTCCCAAATTATAATTCCAACTTTGTGTTTGATCCTTTGACTCGCAGGGTTTTCAGGCTAGCAATTCAAAAGACCATTTATTTCTCCTGAGTTTTTGCTAGGGATGAGGATAGGAAAGGCACTAATGTTTGTCAGGTATGTCTGTTCCCATATAGAGGAAACATACTCACAGGCCCATTTTCTGGATGAAAAAACTGGCTTCAGGAATTATAATCTATTCATTCTGCACTCACTGAGTGCCCACCGTGTGCCGGGCACGCCAAGGCACCAGGGCCATAGCGGTGAGCAAGACAGGCATGATCCCGCCCTCCTGGGGGTCATAATCACTGGAAGAGACGCATTAAACAGATAATTTTACCAGTAACTAATGACCATTTTGACCAGGTTGACAATGCTTCCGAGAAAAAGTCTAAGGGGCTGAGAGAGAATATGTGACAAGGAGCCCAAGGAAGGCTCCTCGGACATACTGTGAAAGCTGAGCCCTGCAGGGGACTGGGCCGCTAAAGAGCAGGTTCCCAACAGGGAACAGCACATGCAAAGGCCTGCAGAGCAGAGAGAGGGCAGAAGACATGGTTCACCCAAAGCCACACAGCTAGTGACGGACAGGCCTGGGTCAGACCCCAAGGCTGGCTGAGCCCAAGACCCACACCTGTGACCCTTCCCACCATGAGGTCAGGCTGCGGAGGGAGACAACAGCACGGCCGGGAGCTGCCTCCTTGCTCAGAAGGTTGGATTTCAGACAGAAGCATGACAAACCGTCAGCATCATGCACCCCACTTGGGAATGTGTAAGCAAAATTAAGTCCTCTATGAAAACACCTTAGCAATCCATGTTTATAAGGTTCTAATAAGAACAAGCCAGGACAATAAACATTCAAGAACAATTTGGCACCTTACACAGTAATCCTTAGCTGTCAGTTACAGTCCCTGTGACCATGAACTTGACGGAACGCCTCTCCCAACTCACCTTGAACTTTTCTTTACAAGGGAGACGTTCCTCTGAGACGGCAGGATGGCAGGTGCCCCGGCTTTCCAGACTGGCTGCTTCCTTCTCAACGGTCACTACAGGGGTAGATCTTAGTTCCTCCAGGTTCCTCTGCTGTCTTCCCTTGAACGCAACGTGAATTACCTTTGAGAAAAAGCCAAGTGCACAGTGCCCCCGGCGCCCCTCGGGGCAATGAGCTGCCAGGTGGAGAGGGCGGGACTCACCGGGCCTTCCCACCCCTCAACGGCTTGTGTCCTCGGCTGGGTCCTGTTCCATACGTCCTCCTGACAGCAGCTTCGGCACGTTCAAACGCCTCCATGCTCCCAGATGCCACTTTGCCTCCCAAAGAGCCAGCATCTCTCCACAGCGCTCCATTTCTGAAAGGGAAGAGCAAGCTCCCGGCTGACCCGGTGAGGGGACAAGAGAAGGACAGCTCAGAGAAACCAGCTTCCAGGACTCAACCAGGTGGGAAGACCAGGAGAGGACAGGAGCCCTGTCAGGAGGTCAGGACCACGACCTGACGCTGGGTGGGTGGGCAAGACCCAGCGCTGCCAGCCAGGGTGCACGGAGGGACCCAGGACGGCAGGCAAAGGGGAAAGGCTTCGGGCGGGCGGAGAAGGCACGCACGGCTGCTCCTGTGCAGGGGCTAGGCCATAGCAAGGTTATAACCACTCCGGGATGCAGCGATGACTGCTTCAAGTGCAGGGCTTAAAAATCCCGGAGTCACAAGATGTCTGGGGTTGTTTTTCTCCTTGGCACAGGAAGAGACTTGAAAGAGAGGAGGTTGAGAAATCCCAGGGTCCCAGGCAGAGAAAATGGGCTGCACCTAAAGCAGGAGAGACTGCAGTTAGACAGGAGGTAGGAATACGGCCCGCCGGTCCAAGTGAAGGCATCCTGGAATGAACTCCGGAAGGCAGCTACAGGTTCTTCACCCCCAAGACGAGACGAGACGGAATGCAGAAAGACCTGCCCCGACTGGCAGCGAGGCCCAATCAGAAGAGTTGGCTTTCCTCGGTGTGGTGACCCCTCCCCAAAGGCAGAGGATTCCACGGTGAGTGCACTCAGTGTGTGTGGATGGCAAAGTAACAACAAGCCACCGCGATCCATGCAGCCTGTACAGCATCCACAGGACGCGCGGGCACAGAGGACGTGGTAAGTGACAGCGCACACGGGCGATGCAGAAGGCAGGACCCGCTACAGGTCCACCCGATGTCTCAGCAACCAAGGGCATTAAAAAAAAAAAAAAACCCACAAGTGGGGGATAAAGGAGCATTGCTCTAGATTAAGGAAAATTAAGAGACGTAACAACCAAATATCCTTATATCCAAAGAGAAGCCCTGACTGGACAAACCGCCTGTAAGCAGATGTTTTTGAAACCAGTGGGGACATTGAACTAGGATGTTAGCGTTAGTTTCATCGGGTGCGATAATAAGACGGTGGCCGTGTAAGGGACTGTCTTTGGGTTTCAGACAGCGGCGTTCCGGTCAACAGCTTAGCAACCGGCTCTCTGAGATGGGGAGGTGGGGGGGAGCCCTTGTAGCGTCTGCCAATTCCCATGGTGCAAATACTCCCAGCACGGTTGACGTCAAGCTACCCACATGACGCACTGAGCACGGCGTTGGCGGGAGAGGTGCACAGTGAGGTCTTAGCCACCAGAGCCAGGGGCTCTGGCACACCGCGGGATTTAGAGCCGTACACCGCGGGACGTCTGCTGAAACGACAAGATGTCTGTGTTTTGAAATGATTCAGTAGTGATTTTAGAAAGTAGATAAAGCATGGGCCGGGCTCGGTGGCTCACGCCTGTAATCCTAGCACTCTGGGAGGCCGAGACGCGGATTGCTCGAGTCAGGAGTTCGAAACAACCTGAGCAAGAGCGAGACCCCGTCCTACTAATAAATAGAAACAAATTAATTGGCCAACTAATATATATAGGAAAAAAATTCAGCTGGGCATGGTCCCATGCCTGTAGTCCAGCTACTCGGGAGGCTGAGCAGGAGGATCGCTTGAGCCCAGGAGTTTGAAGGTTGCTGTGAGCTAGGCTGATGCCACGGCACTCACTGTAGCCTGTGCAACAAAGTGAGACTCTGTCTCAAAAAAAAAAAAAAAAGAAAGTAGATGAAGCAAATGGGGCAAAAAATTGATAAGGATTGAATCTGGGTGTGATGCATATATAGGTGGTTATTATGCTATTACTCTCTTCTAGTGTGTATGTTTGAACATTTTCATAATAAAAAATTTAAAACAGCAATCATCTTATATATAGGAGGAAGGCTTTATTCCAAGAATTCTAAGTGTACCCACTGATTCCTGGACCCCGACCCTAACCCCGCAGCCTCCCGGCGGGCTGACAGCTGAGAATGAGAACACAAGCATCGGCGTCACCGGCCAAAATCCACTTACCGAGAGCCATCGACAGTCATAACCAAGGTTTCTCCACAGACCCTGCGCTAGGCGAAGGTGGCAAGAGAGCCCAAAAAGGAAAAAGCCACCTGGGTCCTTATTGAAAGTCCTGGTTGTACCACTGGCTAAGAGTGTGATTTGGGGCAACTTACTCCAACTCTCTGAGCCTCTGTGTTCTCATTGGCAACATAAGGGTACTAATAACTTCTGGTAAAGTCTCACTGCAGTAAGTAGGCGCGGCTCCTGGCATGTCACGGGACAGCAGGATGCTCAGGAAACACTGCCTTCCTCCTTCCCCAGGGCTCTGGCAGGCGTTGCAGGGACATGAGTGAGCTGTTAAAAACGTGGTCTCCCTCTAAAGGCAAACATTGCTTTTCTTCAGCCGAGAATGTAGGCGCCATGTTGCCAAATCTCCCATTTTTCAAGAGAAGCCGGGGATCCAACTTCTTAAGTGAAATCCCCCAATCTTGAAGTATTATCAACAAATTCATGTATTAACAAACACCGGGCAGGCCAAGCAAAACACCTCTGCAGACCGCAGGTGTGTCAACTTCTGGTTTAAACCGTAGGACAAGATGAAGAGCCTTACTCAACAGTCCCTGAAGCGGGGCCCTGTGCCCGAGGCCTTCACATGCATCAGCTCACCGGCTCCTCACAACCTCGCTACGACCCCTTGAATAGATGAGAAAACTGAGGCTGAGAGCGGTGGAGAGGTCCGTCGGGGCTGGCAACAAATGCAGGTCTTCCCCAGAGCGTGACGTTCCACTCCCTGCTTCTCTAAATTCCTACGAGGGTCTTTAAGGAGCAAACGCCAGTCCCAGATGGGGGCAGGGACTTGCCCAGAGCCGCACATGCAAGAATGGCTTGGAGGAGACGGCTGTGCAGGTCCGCACAGGAGACAGTGCAGACCATGGTGGCAGGGGACAAACCTCTATTTTTTATCTCCTTGAAAAATGCATGCATAGGCATTAAGAATGTTCTAGACCCCAAGCCTAGGCCCCCAGTTTCTCTACCTCAAAAATCTGGAAAGTTGGACTAGAAATCCCAGTTACCAGCTGACCAGACACTCCATTACCAGGTGCCTCCAGGACTGGGCTGGGAACATGTCCAACCACATTGCTTTGGGCCCATCCCCGGAGAGCTGGTGATCACTTAGACACGATATATGTGATTCTTTCTGATTAAACACTTGGCCAGGGGCTGGGTGCAGTGGCTCACACCTGTAATCCTAGCACTCTGGGAGGCCAAGATGGGAGGATCACTTGAGGTCAGGAGTTTGAGACCAGCCTGAGCAAGAGCAAGACTCTTTCTCTACTAAAAATGGAAAGAAATTAGCCAGGCCACTAAAATAGAAAAAATTAACTGGGTGTGGTGGTGTGAGCCTGTAGTCCCAGCTACTCGAGAGGCTGAGACAGGAAGATTGCTTGAGCCCAGGAATCTGAGGTTGCTGTGAGCTAGGCTGACGCCACAGCACTCTAGCCTGGGCAACAGAGTGAGACTCTGTCTCAAAAAACAAAAACAAAAAAACACTTGGCCAGGTTTTCCTTCTTTGATGAATTTTTTTAGTTAATAAGGAAGGAGAACTCATTCCAAAAATGGACCACTCAGAAAGTTAAAGAATTGGTCCTTTCAAGAAAGCTGTGTTCAGATCCCACTATGAGAGGGCACTCAAGGCGCTGGGCACAGGGCGGGGGATGCAGAGGGTAGTGGCTCTACCTCATACCTGAGGACTTGTAATCACTTCCAGGAGGAGCCTAGAGAAACTGCATGACCTTCCCCTTTGGGACCAGACATGAATTCTTACGCGTGTAAGACTCTTGCCTGCTGAACAGCATCCCAGGGGCTCGGCACCCAGACCACCCGCTTCCAAACCCTGGCTGTGCCACTTACTAGCTGTGTGGCTTTACGCAATCCATGTAACCTCTCTGTGCCTCAGTTTCTCCATATGTAAAGCAGGAATAACAATAATAGTACTTATATCATAGGGCTGTTAATATCTCTTAAAGCACTCTTAGAGTAGCAACTGGGCTTCACTGCCTATAGATGGGACTAATAACAGTATCTATGCCTTGGAGTTGTGGCCGGGGTTAAATGAGCCGATACCCACAGGCTAAGCACCCGGAAGGGCAGCTGGCACATAGGAGGCACAAGACGCATGCTCAAGACTGATACTAAAGTGGCTCACGCCTGTAATCCTAGCTCTTGGGAGGCCGAGGCGGGCAGATTGCTCAAGGTCAGGAGTTCAAAACCAGCCTGAGCAAGAGCGAGACCCCGTCTCTACTATAAATGAAAGAAATTAATTGGCCAACTAATATACTATAAAAAATAAGCGGGCATGTGGCACATGCCTGTAGTCCAGCTACTCGGGAGGCTGAGGCAGGAGGATTGCTTGAGCCCAGGAGTTTGAGGTTGCTGTGAGCTAGGCTGACGCCACGGCACTCACTCTAGCCTGGACAACAAAGCGAGACTCTGTCTCAAAAAAAAAAAAAAAAAGACTGATACTAAAGAGCATTGCAGCGCCGCGGCTGGTGAGTGGCCTGTAATTCTGCCACTCTGGGAGGCTGAGGCGGGTGGATTGCTCGAGGTCAGGAGTTCAAAACCAGCCTGAACAAGAGCAAGACCCGTCTCTACTATAAATAGAAAGAAATTAATTGGCCAAGACTAATCAGTATATAGAAAAATTAGCCGGGCAGTGGCACATGCCTGTAGTCCCAGCTACTCGGGAGGCTGAGGCAGGAGGATTGCTTTGAGCCCAGGAGTTTGAGGTTGCTGTGAGCTTGGCTGACGCCACGGCATCCACTCTAGCCTGGTCAACAAGCGAGACTCTGTCTCATCTCAAAAAAAAAAAAAAAAGAGCTATTGGCAATAGAGCTTTTCAGTTAATTTGTATTTATATCTTCACCTTGGAGCTGTTCGTAAGAGCTAGAAGAGCATTTCCTCAAAGAAACTTTCCCATTAAGACTTTCCAATGACTCAGAGCAAAGGGCTCCTCCTCTTCCTTATCACAATCACAGCGACTTTCTGGCCAAAGGCTGCAGGCCCCTCCCTCCTGGGCTCACTCACACCCACTGCTTCACATGGAGTCAAGTAACATTGTCCCCACATAATGGATATAGACACCAAAGGTCCTGTAGCTTCCCAAACGTCAAGAGTCATATGCTTTGGGGCAGAGACTCAAGCCAAAACACCACAGTCCCAGGTTCAGGGTGGCATGGCTTCCAAGGACAAGGCTCTGGGGTCCCATGTCCACCACTTTCCTTAGGCAAGAAACCCTGATTTCCACATCTGTAAAATGGGTGCAATAACAGTACCTACTTCCTTGGTTTGTTGCAAAGATCGAATGAGTGAACGCACATCAGGCACTGAGAACAATGCCCGGCACACAAGCACTTAAAACGTGAGTGGAGCCACACATCCCAGGTGGCCTGGTGTATGCCCAATACCCCCAGCAAACCTTCCAGCTACAGCCCTGTCACTCTCTAAAACACCCTGGTTTGGAAGAAAATTATATGGCCACCCTAAAATAATAGCCAATTACTGTCTAAATTATTATTATTATTATTTATTTTCTACCATACCTCACTGGGTCTCCAGAAAGTGAATATGGTGGCTCAAAATACTCAGCAATTCAGTACCACCCTTAGACCCAGGTAAGCGTAGCCCCTGCCCTGGGGACCCCACACTCTGCCTCCTCCAGCCGACCTCTCACCACAGGGAGGGGAGACCACGAGGCACAGGGACATGTCCACCCGGAGCCCGTTCAGCCTCCCTAGAGCACACTCTGGGTACCCAGGCCCCTGCCAGCCCCTGCACAGGTGGCCCTTGGCCCACTTCTAGAACCTGTGTGGGTCGTATCCCCAGACGCAGCGCCCGGGGAAAGAGTGCACCCCTGGCGTGCCCAGCCCCGAGCCTGAGGGGTGGCCAAGGGGCAGCTCTCAGGGTGGGGTGGGAGCGGGAGGGTGGACAGAGCTTGCAAGTGTAGCTGAGATGTTCTGCGTGCAAAAGAGCCCGTGAGGGCAGGACAGAGGCAGAGGTGGGAAGAGGCAGGCACCAGGGCCCCTCTCCCTGTGCCACCAACTCCAGTGCCGGGTCTGAAAAGTCTGAGAATTCTGCACTCAAAGTTGGCCTTCCACGTTGTCATGAAGCTGTATTTGTCAAGGTAGAAGAATGGAGCATATTTTCTTTTTTTTCCCCCCTGGATTTTACCCTCTGCTTTTTCTGAGGCTATAGAGCATATTTTATTCTGCATTTTGTTAGTTTGATTTATAACCTGCA